TGCAGGTGATGTCCGAGTCTTGAATTTTTCTTATTCTTATGTCTTAAAGTGTTGACTGCATAATGGTGAAAAGCGCAAATCTCTATCTTTTTTCTGTCGAAAGTTATTCTAAAAATATGCGGTGGCCCTGTATTTTGGAACCGATAGCAGTCTGTGAAAGCCAAAATTGAGTATCAATCTTTTTCTTTTCACTACAACTATAATATCTTTAAGGAAGCTTATATCATATACTAATTCGATTTTTTGTAAAACAGATTTTCTGACTCTATTTTAAGCAGAAGTATCGTATGAGCTAATTTCACAAGCCTATTTGATTACAGATCATCAAATAACTATTTCCATTTAAATGTTTTACGAAGAATTCTAAACTAACCTGAATGTAGAAATATATTCATTTGTGATAAACCACCGTAAGCAGAATATAACGAACTATCAATATAATCATCTAATTTTAATGTGCGTTTTTCATCTACTTCTGTCATACCATGATCTGACGTTAAAATAACGTTTAAATTCTGTTTTAAATATGGATCGTTATCAATCTGTGCTAACAGATATCCTAACAATTGATCACAATATTGTAAAGTGGTGTTCATTTGAGATGATAATGGACCGTAAATATGGCCTGTAAAAAAAAATTTCTTTTTAACTACTAAGCAAAAAGCCTGTGTTTTTCATTACCTGTATGATCTGGTTCATAAAAATAAATTGTGCCAAAATTAATTGGCTCATTTGGATCTTTGAACCATTTGATTATTTGATCTATAATTGTTTCAAACCGGCGTGTTTCATTATAAATTTCATACTTTGATGGCATATGACCATTAACCGGTGTACCAGTTGATGGCCATGAAATTACTCCCGATCTTCTTTTTGTTTCCACTTTACCATTATTATTCTGTAATTCATTCGTCATCCAAATAGGTTCACTATATGAATTTTGACTCCACCATTTTGTATCGTTCATTGTGTCGAAACTTGTACTGGCATTAAGTATAGGATCATACATAATATTATTAACAATACCATGTGTCTCTTCATATAGGCCAGTAACAATTGTAAAATGATTTGGAAATGTTGTTGTTGTAAAACTATTTATAATATGTTGAACACGAACACCACGATCAAGTAACGAACGAAAATTTTTTAATGTATAAATATCTGGATAATCATAGCGAAACCCATCGAACGATATTAATAATAAACGTGGTAACAAATCAGAAATATTATTAACTGTTGGTTTACAATTAGCAAACGATAATAAAAGAGAGATGAATAATAATGAAATAGAAAACATTTTAAGAAAAATAATAATAATAGAATCGATATCGAACTAGAACTAGCATAGTCGATATCAGACTAATTGTTATTCATACATCTATAAAGAAAAATATCATATGTCATAAAAAATAGTTGAAGTTATGTTTGCATCAATGTGCAAAAAATATAAAAAAATAGCAACAAAAATCGATTTACAGAGAGTGAAATTAAAAGTACTGCGATTGAGAACGCTTTATATATTTGAGAATTATTTACACTGATACTTTGAAAATAAAAAAAAAATAGTAAAAATAAAAATAAAACCAAATTCATTTCATGAGATAGACAGAGTAGGAAAAAATTTGATTCTCAAAATTTTGAAGAAAAAAAAATTAGAGTTCATTATCACCAAGAAATTCCCTAGTTTTATTGTCTGTATTTTGTTGTTGTTTCTGATGATGTTCATTATCATTTGTGCTTAATAATTGATAGCGATGTGGAATTGTTGTTGTTACTGATTCAACGTGAATAGGTCTTGGAGCATAACGACACGTAATAATTGACCATACAACGCCCATAATTAATGATAATAAAATTGCTACAAGTACTACAAATAAAAATATTTATATTTAATAAAATAGATATACATATCTAAAAATTCATTTTCGTCTTACCAATAGTTGGTAATGATGATGCAAATGAGAAAATCGAACTTTGTCCAAAAATCTTCGAATTAATTTTTGATTGATCTAATAAAAAATCTTTAATATTATTAAATGAACCATTTGTTTGCCGAATATTTTTAATATCTAAGATAATACACATTAAAGAATATAAATCAACATTGTAAAATGGTATTGATGATGTAAAATTTTTACGAAATTGTGGTCCATATGCATAAAATATTGATCGCATTGTTTTTAAACTATTATCATAGCCATGATTTCCATGAGTTTTAGTTCTATCAAAATTTGATGTTATGTTACCATCAAAACTCAATAAGAGCAAAAAACAGAAAATAAAATCAAGATAAATTTCAGCGTGTTACCTACCATCAGAGATATTTTTGGATACTGGACGACTTAAAATTTCAAAACCACCATCTGCCACTAAAAGTATAGGTCCTATTCTTATATTATTTTTATAATGATAATTGTCAGGGATGTCATTTTTTTTATAGACAACAGAATGTGGAATCTTTGTTAGATTTTCGTAAATAACATCAGTATCATTATCTAAAAATTAAAGAATAACTGTGACTATTTTATACTACTGCTTTCGACAACAACAAACAAGTACCTGCATGAGGGAAAATGCTGATCACTGTTACAGTGCCATAATAATGAAATAACGACGTATTAACATAATCATCAATGTAAGTCAAGTTGTTGATACCATTGACCTGTTCCATACCGTGATCGCTTGCTATTATGACGTTTAAATCATTCTTAAGAAGGTCACTTGTATTTATTTTATTCATTAAGTAACCTAGTAATTCATCACATTCGTGCACTGTCACATTCACCTCTTTAGAATTAGGGCCGTATCTATGGCCGACAGCATCCGGTTCACGATAATAAATAGAACCAAAATTAATCGGTTCTTTTTCATCCAGAAACCATGATATCATTGTATCAATAATTTCTTTAAATTGACGTTTTTTCTCGAATACTTCATACTTACTTGGTCGATGACCATTAATTGGAGTTTCTAAACTTACAGGCCATCCGATTACACCAGACTTCCGTTCATTTATGTTTTCTACTTCATTTGTTTTCCAAATTGTCTCGAGAAGCGAATTTTGACTCCACCATCTTGTGTCATTCATCGTTTCTACTTTAAATACTGATTTCATTACGGGATCATACATATTATTCGAAATTATTCCATGTGTTTCCTGATAGACTCCAGTAATCATTGTAAAATGATTTGGAAATGTTGTGGTTGCAAATGCGCTTATTGATTGTGCCCGAACACCAATATTATTTAACAGGTGAAAATTTTCTAATGAATACATGTCAGGGTAATCATAACGAAAACCATCGAAGGAAACCAATAATAATAGTGGTGGAGATGTCTTTCGGCATTCCACTTCTGCAATTAAAGTACTAGTACACAACACAAGTAAAATGGCGTCGATACAAATATTGTTTACTAATTCACCCAGACGTTGGTACATCTACAATTACCGATATAAAACGAAAACGTTATTAACGCGAAAAATAAGGAAAAGTCGCAGATAAAAGAGTAGAAAAAACAAAAGATAATTGTTTGTCTATTCCAACTCAATTTCAATTCTGTAAGACAAACATTAGGTGAAAGATATCATCTTTTTAAAGACTCCACGGAAATAAACATGGAAGTTTTATTCGGAGAAGTCCGTAGAAATTGAAATGTCTCAATTTACTTTAGATGCCTGTGAAATTTCTTTTGCAGTATGAAGCAGTGTTTTTCATAATACGATGGCACAGGCGGATATGCTATTGTCATTCACCATGAAAAGCTGAAATCCACTGTAATTTTCACTGTGCTTCTGACTGTAAATCACGAAGTGTAAATCTTTGGGAAAAGTACTGTTATTGATCTAAGATTAAAAGTGCTTCCTTTACGCTTCATATCCCAGTGATTTTACCATTTGTGATTTACAGGACAAAATAAAACACGTAAGAGCTCGTAGATCACGCTGTTTATCGACTCTCTGAATCAGAGGGAGGACTTGTTACGGGAGGACTTGCCCATAGGGCGCACACGGGTCTTTCCCTAAAACAGAAATTAAAAATTAAAATTTTTCTGAAACACGCAATGTATATTAAATTCTCAAACTACCAGCTCACTTTCTCACTACAAAAACTGAAGTCGAGTAAAAAATTGAACAATAGAGCGAATAGAACGGAGGAGTATTCGTTTAGCAGATGTTCCCTCTAAATACGTGATGACATTACAGTTGGTGTTCTTCAAACCGGCTTAGTATTCCCCTGATAGCAAAAAATCGAGTGAAAAATATAGTCCTATGTTTTAATCGCAAAAATAACGAAAAAGAAAATTACGAAGTCAATAGTAATCACTTTATGAGAAAGAGGATATGCTGAGCGTTATTTTCAATTATTCTAAACGTGATAATCACGTTGCAAATCAAAGGATTAAAGGAAATCATAGATCATACAGGAGGAAAGAAAGCCGCTGAGCTTACTTCGATCAGTGGCAATGATCAGATACGGAATCTATTACAAAGATTATGAAATGTAAGTTAGATATACTTGTAAAAACTATATATATTAACAATTTACATCAGTTAATAATCACAACTTCAAAATGATTATACTAATTCCAACCAACTTCTGCGAGTTTTATTCGACCCTTAACGACACGAACAAGCTTCGTATGTAACGTTTTTATTTCAAAAGAGAGGTCTTATTTTGTTTCGTTTTATTTTTTTCTTTTCTGTTTTCGTAATTTTTCTTTTCGTTATTTTTGCGATTAAAACATCGGTCTATTTTTTACTCGATTTTTGCTATTAGGGAAACATTAAACCGAACACCAGCTATATTGAGAGAAAAATATTATATACGCTGTAGAAGCATCAGAATTCCATAACATATCAATCAATAGTATAACTCCACTCTATTGCTCTCTCGCTCTTTCTTTGTTCTTACAGAATTTCTTATTTGATATAAGAGACCAGAAATCATCATGCACAATTTGAGATGTCGCCGCTATCTATTTTGCAGTATAGGATAGTGTAGTTGCACAATTAATTTCGATGACTACAATTCACCAACAGTGATGCATCCGCTAATTGGCAGATATTAGCAAACTCTAAAAAACCATTCCTTCTATCATAGGCAGCGCAAGTTAAAGTTCCTAGGGGTAGCAATAAATTTTTTAAACTCATAATTTTAATAAATAATAACAACTCCCAGAATATGTGTTATTAGGGGTAGCAATAACTTTCTATTGCTACCCCTAATTTTCTGTAGGGGTAGCAATTGCTACCCCTCGCTACTATGGCGCGCCGCCTATGCCTTCGATAGATAGTACTTTATTACGACCGAATTTATTGTATTGAGTTTGCCAGCAACAATTAGCTACCACATAATATTCTAGTTCAAAACATACTTCAAGAAAAAAGCTTTCGTTGGTAAAATATTTTTAGAATAAAATTTCTAATGTGATGTTTATTTCAGACGATAGAGACGACTTCAGTAGAGGACACTATCAAGCATCGAGGTTCTGTGTCGACAGTTGCGTCAAATGATCGTGTATTGGATAAGAGAATGGGTCGGTCATTCATGAGTAAGTTCTTTCTCTTCCTTTCTGTTTCTACAATTTTTTGAATAAATATATCTTGTTTGATTCGGAATTTATTTTCTTTGCTTATTATCCAAAATTTTATCAATTTCTACGGCAAAGCTTCATATTTAAACAGTTTTTTTCTGGCTATTTATGTTATATATTGTGCAATGGCTTCCTCTATAAAATTCCAATTTTAGTATTAAGTTCTGAAAACTTTGAATATTTAGCAGTGAGATCTGATCCGATCTGCTGTTGCCTGCATGTATTTGCATTACCTTTATTCTCGATTACTCCTCTCTTTTGAATGACTTGTCCAATGAATGACGACATTTTTCTGCACAGACAGACAAATAATTAGTTTGTGTAGACTCTTATTAAACTGACAATGTTTTTTCCTGAACGAAGGATATTTCATAAGGGTAGATGAACTGATTCGGAGCAGTCGTAATAGGACTGTTCATAGCTACATGAGATGCGTTTTAGTTGAAAACGTTGTTAATGACGATAAGTATTCACAGTAGAAGTAAAGTGTACGGTATTTTGAATATTCTAATTCAAAACGCTGCTAATTGAATGCATTTTCAACATGGTGATTAAATTTTGTTTTTAGATTCTATTTAAATAGACCAACAAAAAAATCATGTCAGGTGGTGATGTCGAAGTTGAAGTAAATGACATGGACGATGTTGTTGGTGGCGTTACGATGGATGAAGAGCCAGATGAAGAAGAGACTGTGGAGCGTATTAAATCGGGTGCTCGTGTTCGAAAAGGGCGTGGTTTTAATGAAGCTAGTGAACGTATAACAATGAAAGGTGGTGATTATGATACTGTTGATTCACAACAAAATGGAGATCCTGGTCCAGCTCGGAGTGTTGAAGGTTGGATATTATTTATAACAAATGTTCATGAAGAAGCTCAAGAAGATACAATGTTTGATTTATTTCGTGAATACGGAGCAATTAAAAATATGCATTTAAATTTGGATCGTCGTACGGGTTATGCGAAAGGCTATGCTTTAACTGAATATGAAACATATAATGAAGCAAAAAATGCTTTACAAGGATTAAATGGACAAGATTTATTGGGACATAAATTACATGTTGATTGGGCATTTGTTAAAGGACCATTGAAAAAACGTGACAGTAATCGTACAACAAAAACAACAGCGAATACGGGGCGTTCAACGTATCGTCGACGATAGACAATAAATTTTTAATAAATAGGATGAGAATAACTTTTGTCATGTTTTTCTGACTTCTTCGTTTTCTTTCCTTTTTTTGTATATGTACGACGAAATACTGTCGTTGATTGTTTCTTTTTTGTTGTTTTGTATTTCTTGCAAATTGCTCTTGAACACATAAACTATCTACTTACTTTTCTTTTATTCATTCGATGAAGTCGAAAACAACTACGTTTTGAATCTATTAAGGATACAACGTGTCTGTACCGTTATACAGATATTACAACTATATAAATCGTTAATCTACCCGATTCATATTATTCCACAAACGGTTTATCGTTTCCTACTATATCACTATGATCTTGTTATATAGTAGCTTAACCAATGCGCATTTTAATTAGTTTATTTTGATTCAAACTTTTACAAAAATAATTCAGAATTCAATAAAATTACTCTTCTGTTACTTTTGAGAAGCATAGGGGATCAGAAAACAGAATAGCCGTTTCACCTTTATATACGATTCCCTCTATTGCTACGAACCATTGGATTTAACTTTCGTACAAATGTTTTTTAGAAGAAAGGAAATATGTTTGAACCTTGAGCACGCTTTACTTATGAAACTGAAAGTTTATAAGGATATCTATTGTTTCAGTGCTTTTCTTATCATCGAAATAATAAAATGACTTGCGCTCTTGAAAATACGTATTTGTTTTTGACAAATTTGATGTCGTTCTTTCTTATTTTTTCTTCAGTGTAGGAGAAGAAGCTAAAATTGTTATTAGTTCGTTATTGTGCAATACTGAAGTTTGAGGTTTTCATTGCCATTAGCGTCTTTCTTATTAGAGACCTTCTGATTTTGGATTGGAGCACCGCAAAAAACTGTACATATTTACTGCATTAGATTAGAGTATTTTTACTAGTAAGTCTATATAAAACAAGTTTAATACTTTCACTCACTATGAGAAAGTCTACGTCGTTTAGCGACACTCGCAAAAGAGAAACTTTTGTTAACTGCACAAATTCAGTGCTTTTTCGCTAATCAGCTGAGATCACTATCTCAAAGGTATCTAATAGTTTCATAAGGTATCTAAAGTTTTCTCAATCATAATTTTACAATTTTTTGCTCTAGACTACTTCTAATTTATCTCAACTTACTGTCTTAACAACATATTTGATGGCTGTGCGTACCCAGTTTGAAAGCAGTAATGATATTGGTGTATTTGCTCGTTTAACAAATTCATATTGTCTTGTGGGTGTTGGTGGATCAGAAAACTTTTATTCGACATTCGAAAGTGAATTAAATGATCATATACCTGTTATTCATGCATCAATCGGTAACATTCTTTTTCCTTTTGTTAAACGATGTGTTTCATATTTTGTTTTTGTTTTAGCTGATTGTCGTATTGTTGGTCGATTAACTATTGGTAATCGTCACGGTCTACTTGTTCCAAGTTCAACAACTGATCAAGAATTGCAACATATTCGAAATTCATTGCCAGACACTGTACGTTTACGTCGTTGTGAAGAACGTTTATCGGCACTTGGAAATGTTATTGCATGTAATGATTATGTTGCTCTGATTCATCCCGATTTAGATAAAGAAACAGAAGAAATATTATCAAATACTTTAAATGTTGAATGTTTTCGTCAAACAGTTGCTGATCGTGTTTTAGTTGGAAGTTACTCAACATTTACAAATCAAGGTGGTCTCGTTCATCCAAAAACAACGATACAAGAACAAGAAGAATTATCATCATTATTACAAGTACCTCTTGTAGCAGGTACAATTAATCGAGGTTCAGATGTTATTGGAGCCGGTTTATTGGTGAATGATTGGATAGCATTTTGTGGTTTAGATACAACAGCTCATGAAATAAGTGTCATTGAGAGTGTATTCAAATTAGGACAACATCATCATTTAACTGGTGCCAATGCAGCAACAACGAATAAGACTATTAAAGATTCATTAGTCGATGCATTAACATAAATCATTAGCGTTTATCTGTTTTCTGTGAAATGCTTGTTCTTCTTGTTGTTTATTTAATATATATTAAAGCAACTGAATGTAAGAGATGCTACACAGTGTTGCTCATCTCGTATGTGTATTGTTTTGTGAATATTCGTAAACGGATTGTTATCGTAAAATTCGATACAAAGTGATGGTCATTATTTCTAGACAATTTTCCTAAGGATAATTTATCCAAACGTGGTACTAGAGTGGATAATTATGGTTTGAGATCTATTGAAACTTTGCTAATGGATGTTTTATAAATTAGAAACTATGAATAATTCTATATAACACAGGAATTTAGATAACTTACATTTACTCGCGCTTTTGCCATTTATAATACACGGGTGATTTAATTTGATAACCAATATGTAATCAAAAACGGGTTAGAATTTATATTTATTTAAAGAAAAACAGTTTTAATGATTTATTTAATTGGAGAAAAAGAAAAGTGAATATATCAATGTGAATATTTCATCTATAGGAGAAATTTTGTTTTTTATTAAGAAAATTTTCAATCTGTAAGTCTAATTTTAGCATAGTATCAAACTAAAAATGGTGATTATGTTCATTTTAGATATTATTGTTTTTTAAAATCAGAATAGTGGCTAAATCTAAGAAATTATTTTATTTATTTGAATTTAGTAAATTAATTCGATGGCTATTAATTATTTATAGTCATTTACTTGTATACATGTTTAATCAATGTATAAAATCTTCAACAGTAACTTATTATGTATTGAATAGTTTTCTATTATGGATGTTTTTACAGTATCAAATAGCATTTTTTCTAGTATCAGCTATTCTTCCACAACATTTTATAAAAGATAAAAAACCAGATTCTTTTCTTGAACAAAAATGTCCAATTTGCTCGCTTCATTTTCCAAATCGTATTCATCATTGTTTTATAGTTAATCGTTGTATAGCGATATTTAATTGTCATTGTTTTTTATCATTTTGTTTGTATGCTACAATATCAACATTATTGGTTTCATCTATTTTTTTGCTGACATATTTCTCTTCATCGTTCAGTCAAATATTCAACACGTATGAACAAAATCATACGATTCCAAAATATTGTTTATTTCCATTAGGTGAATTTTTCTGTTCAATTAAATGGTCACAAAGTGGAATTGTCATGTTGACACGTTCAGCACTATTTTCGATTCTAACGGCTGGCTTCATGGGTATACAAGTAGCATTAGCTTATCGTAAATATCTCATACAACAAAACCAAAAAATTTCGTTAATTAAAGAATTGACATTTCTCATTTTACCATGTTTAAGTGTTATCAGACAATAACTACAACTTTTTTATTATAAACAACGTTTATACTGATATAATGCCATATGAATGACTATGCTTTGTCTTTTTTGACAATCTTGCCAATGTTTGAATTATATATTTTTTTTTTTTGGGTGATATGAATGCGTTAAACAATCCATTTTTTTTATTTGCTGACGTATTCTCGTTGTTTGAAAACTACTAGTTTTTTACTATAACTTTTTATGGTGTGATAATGTTTGATGTTGGGAGTATGTTAAATAAAAAACTAATTTCAAAATTAGAATTATTACAATGTAAAGTAATCTTACTTCAGGATAAACACTATGACTGCATTAAAAAAATATGACTACCACAATTTTTAACAGGAAGATATTCTTAAACGCTCATAAATATTGTTACACACTAGGATATTTGTGAAAGAGACTAACACCCGCTAACATCCACTAACAATCTAGAATTAAAATCTCGTAGGACCAATAGATAGAGTTCGTCGCATTGATTCTGTTAACATCAAATAATGTTCAAACGGCTGCTAATATCCACTAACACCCAAAAACGACACGAGTTTCACACTAATTAACTCTCAACATTGGATTATGCTTAGATTTGTTGAATTATAGACTGAGAAAGGCGCCCATGTCTTTTTTAATTGTAGTGAGTTACAAATACTCGTACACAACAACAAACATTTAGATTTCACTTAGATTAGTTCGCCAACTTGGTTAAATTAATCGTTTTATTATGTGGAAATAAGTTAATTTGCGTGTTTCCACTGCATAATGATAATACTATAGGCTTGACAGTGATCCTAGGAACACAAGCATTTCATTTACTTTCAATGGATGTTTATACTATTAAATATATAATTGGAATATTTTTTAGTATCTTTTTTTCTACCATAATGAAGGACTAAAGAGAAACTACCTTGACCTCGAAAAATACAGGCTAAAGTGAACATTTTCAAAGACACAAGAGACAGATCACCTGTAGATAAGAAAGAATGGAGTATTTGTTGATTTTTTCTGAGACACAGGATGAAATAAATGATCCAAGTTCTTATATTGACCTAAAATTTATCAACTTCATAACACTTTATAATTTTCGAAAAGATAGTTAGAGACGAAATTGAGCAGTTAATGTTTAATCTAAGAACATAACTTGGTCTCCTTCTATAACATAAAAAGATTAAAAGTATTAACATTCAAATACTGTGTATCCATCTAGGTAAGTGGTTAATTGTAGATATTGGGAACAAAAAAAGAAGAACCAACTGCTCTAGTTCTCTCGTTCGCCTTTAAAATGTGATGTAATTATTTCATGTTCGCCCGATCAATGACCAACGCTTTTGATTATATTGAATGCAAATGACATTTTTTGTTGACTATTATGTTATGAGATAGACAGGGGTCGAACAAATGATCAATGGAAAATATGTCAGAATGTGTAAATTAGTCCAAATCATGATAAATCTAACTTAAAACGTAAGAGACATTCTTCAATACATACGTGCTCTTCCGTATTAGTATTAGCACGTATATCAGGAGATTTTTGTTTAACGTGCGTGTTCGAGCACATAGCGCACATACTCTTAATCCAAAATTTTGACGGTAATCTGCTGTGATGATGCTCTTTTATAATGAACAGATATGTTTTATTTTAATAAAGAAGTTCACTCAAAAATCTTTGGTATTCTCCAAGTTATTACGGTTTTTGATGCAAATGTCTCTGTAATAATAACGTAGTCAGAGATGAGTATCAATGACAGATTTTCTTTTAAGTTTATGCTTGCTGGTGGACTACTAGAATTCGTAAAAAGTAGTTCGGACGCCTAAATATTCAGATACTTTTAACTATCCTTGAACATCAACTGTTTAGGTCTAGAGCGAATCTAGCTCTTTTCTGCTGGACAAAGCGTTGGGAAAAAGTAAACCAACATGCAAAAACAAACATGCATGTGCAAAATATGTACGAATTTTAAACAAAATGATTTGTCACAGTTTTTCAAGGCCCTGAAGTACTACAAAAAAAAGAAAAACAAAGAATAAAAACGAGTTCCTTTTTGAAAATATTGTGAATACAATTCATCTATGATGATTTGTACTTTTCCTCACTATTTTGGCCCCTAATTGTACATGTTTCACTGTCTCGATCATTCCATCTTCTATGAGAGCTGACATCTAGTTGATATTGATAATTTTTAGAAAACTTTCAGAGATGCTCAGCTTACAACAAATATAGACAGCGAAAAAAGAAATGACTTTAGTCCAGGTCCTTCTCTGACCACAATATTTTTTGTGAGTTTTCTCAACACGAAAATAACCTTCTCGAATAATTATCGTTGTTCTCTATCTTTTCCTTTTCAGTTGCCGCAAAAAAGAATAGATAGCTAACTAGATTATACATGTATGTCTATATACATTCAGAAAATCTCTTTTTTTTTATCTATCCAAGGACAGATTTTCATGCCTGTCCTTTCCTTCGTCTTTTATCTCTAATCATTTAGAGCATACAAGGTTGCGCTTTGCAGAAATTGATTATGGAAAAGTGTATTTAGATGAAAAAGCGAATAAATGATGATTACACTGTTTTTCGTTATATTTAAACGTTAAATAGTTTTGAACCTTTTTTTACTGTAGTCACTCTTTTTTTTCCTTTTTCTTCTGTCTGTTTGTACTATTAAAAACCTTGAGAGTAAAATAAAATATCCATCCACTCATGTTCAGAAAGGGATGTTTCTTTAAACAGGTAAATTGATTGAAAAAAAAGGTTATTCCGAAGAACGCAGAGTGTAAAGTTACACGTATAAACGTTAAGAAAGGAATTAACCATCGTTGAGCTATCGTGAATCGCATCGTATCCCTATAAGATTGAATATATCATTTAGATAGATTGATAGTTCATATATCATCAGTGAGAGTTTGTGAGACAATTTAATCCATATGTTGAAATTTTAAGAATATTCAGAATAGAGTGCAAGAAGTAATACACTCTGAGAAAACGTAGGGTTCTTTTGATTATAGATGTGTAACATACATAGTTTAAAAGATTTCTAAGTTGATAATGTAGAATAACGACGTTGACATAAATAGCACATGGCAAGGCAAAATGTGATGCAATCAGAGTAGATATTATATTTTCTGTTTGTTATTTGGTTACGAATAATTTAACCTATATATTACATGTTTGACATGTCATTTGTTAGTCTACATGAAGCTGATGATAGACAGAAGCATACATATTCATGAACGTTTATTCTTATGAATGTTCATATTATGGAGAATTTTAGGTATGATCAGTTGAGAGATATTGGTTAAAGAAATAAAACTTTGATTTATTATACCATTTTATCCTTCTTCATTGTTGCATTAAGGAGAGAAAAAAATGATATCATGTATAGGAAGTACTTCACTTCTTTGACTTTTCCTTTCTTCTTCTTTTTATGATAAAGAAAAAAATGACAAGTGTAATAATTAAAAAAAAATAGAAAAACCTTCACTTTCTGAGAGTATATAATATACTTGATTATCAAAATTATGTGTATTCAACATTGAAATCAATGAAGACCATTTTATTACATGAGTTATAAGTGGTGGGTTGAACCTTTATTATTATTATCATTTTCATTGTTGTACGTAGACGAATAGACGGATTTCGAGTTAGACCACGTTTTTTTGGACAATATAGTCAAACGTATTTGGTATGATTTTTACATAAATAGTAGAAATGAATACTGAAGACAGTAATGAAGCTAACAGAAAGACTGAAGCGTTTTTTGGAAACTAAATCAAATATCAAATAAGTTCTCTGTCTCATTAAATTTGAATGACTGTAAGAAGCATGATCATGTTATTTAATTGTAAGTAGTTTTGAAAGATGATCATATGTGTAATTTCATCACATTTTTCACATGAACGTTAATCAAATATAAAATTAAGTTTTATCTAAAGAGTTTCATATTTTCTCATTCATATATAAATAATTTATTTAGTTCTTTCTCGGTTTAAAAAAAATTTTGAAATTAGCTAAGTATATACACCACTTTTATCTTCTAATAAGCATTTTTAACAAGTATTTTTAGAAAGAATAGAATCAGAAATTATATAAAATAGAAAATAATTCTGTAATTTTTAGTAGTTAGTTGTATGTCTTATTATGTTTTTTTGTATGCTGAATAATTATTATATCAAGAGGACAACAACAATCACTGACGATACATTTAAATAAAGTGTAGAACAACGGCAGAATGCCCTTCAAGTTTTTCTGATTTGGCGAGTATATTGACTAACAGCATTTATTACAACTCTTTTTGCACACGTATATGGACTTGGAAAAAAGTGATCTATTAATTATACAACATCTGCTATAATCGTTCAGTAACTCACCGAAAATTTTGACGGTAATCTGCTGTGATGATGCTCTTTTATAATTGAACAGATGCGTTTTATTTCAATAAAGAAGTTCACTCAAAATCTCTGGTATCTTTCAAGTTATTACAGTTTTTGATGCAAATGTCTCTGAAATATCAGATGTTTCTGTGCTGTCTTTCATCTATAATAAAGACAAATGTGTTTTTTTTCTGTTATTTCAAAAAATATTCCTTATAGTGTTAAAAACCTTTTTATATTCCTAGAAATAGCATAGAACTGACTGATTAAAGAAAAGAAAGAAAATCTATGTATGCGATTTTTTCATGATACTTTGTCACCGTAATTGGCCTGGAAATAGATGCCGTGCTTCAAATCATTATTATTATTTTTTCCAAATCAAGTAGATACTATATGTTTGTGCCTTAAAAAACCAATAACAATCTTAATGAGGATCCTTTTATTCGATTTTCCGATAAAAAAGTATGAAAGTGAAGGAAAAACAATAAGGAAAAGGATGACAGCAAACATTTGTCAAATGTATCTTTAACCGTTTTCTTGAAAAAGACAGTATGTTTGTGTTTATATAATCTTTTAATATGTAAAGAAACAATCAGCAAGTATGTAACATTTGATATGAAGTTATCTTAATAGAGTGACAAATAAGAAAATACTTTGCATTTTTGAAACTCGAAAAAATAGATGATATTAACAATGTTTTCCTCATTTATACTATGAGAACAAAAATAAGAAATAATTGGATACAAGAAGAGAAAAACGGCTGAATAATTAGTTCAAAATTTCTTTGTTTCTTTTGTGCTAAAATGTGTTATATAAGAATAGAAAAAAAGAATGAAATAGGAAGTACAACTGAAAGCGAAGCAGAATGAAAGTAGCTGGAATAAAAAGTTTTTCCATTAAAGATTTTCGGATGAATTATTAGTGTTTACTTCAACTGATCAGTACCGAAAGAAGCTGTATGTAGGAAATACTTATTTTATCATTCGACAAAGGGATAGCCTTTGAAATCGAAAAGATAAGAGTTTAGGAAAGTTTTCTCAGTTTCTCTTAGTGTAAGAATTTTCCATTCTGTTTCTAGAATATTAGAATGCAATCCGAACTGATAAAAGATATTGTTCCTACACCATCTCCACGTTGTCTCTCATATTCGTCTCTTCATTTACCAACAAAGTTCACATCCGACATCGTTACATTCAACGTTGGTGGAAAAATCTATTGTACAACTCGTTCAACAATTAATCATTTTCCACGCTCAGTATTAGCATCAATGATCTCTGATAGCAACAATCTACAATCAAAATGTGACGAAGCGGGACATTATTTTATTGACCGTGATGGCAAGTACTACCTATTGTACTTAAAATTATTATTTTAAGTAGGTATTTGTATTTTAGGTTCAATATTTCGTTATATTTTGAATTATTTACGTGATAAAACATTAAATTTACCTGATAATTTCAATGAATTTAAACAATTAAAATATGAAGCTGATTTCTATCAAATTGACTCATTAATTACAGAAATTGAAAATCGTACTAATGCGATAAATGAACAACAAAAACAAAACTTAGATGGTCTCTATTTTACACTAATCTCTAAATTAAATCAAGATAAAATTTTGACGATTATTGGCCCCATTAAAGTTTTACGACTTTTTCGTTTAGAACAAATAGCTAGAAAATTTGTTAAAACTCTCAATCCTTCCATATCTTGTCAATGTAATTTTCCAAATAAAGATAAAATAATATCGTGTCAACCGTGGAATGAATTTCAACGACAATTATTAGCAAAACAGGCACGAAAATTTGGTCTACCAACCGGGTATTGGGACGACTATTTTTATTTACCATTTGAAAAAATAACAAGTCACGATGAGTTCGTAACAATATTAAATAAATATGAAGCAAAATTGTTACATACAAATGTCACATACGAACGAAAAAATGATGATGAGATTACTTATGCGCTAGTGGAAAATTGGTTTGTACCAAATATAGCTGTGACACAGTATGAACAATAATGCACAAATAAAATTAATACGAACAACGTGAGTAATACAAGAATAATGTCACAGTAGCTGCTTCTTTCTATTCAATGTCAGTATGAACAGTGCATTGTAAAGAAGTTATTCTCATCTGATTTTTTTTTGACATTTGCCAACTGCCATATTAGACATCATTCTACTACCAATCTCATGATTGTTCTATGTATAAGACAAGAAAACTTCACTGTATCACTTTCTTGATGTTTTGGGATATAAGATATGTACTTTGCGTACACCAAAATAAGGTTAAAGTGAGTAAAAAAGATTTATTGAATCAAATAGGGGTGATGATGAACTAATTACTAATTTAATTAATTACTTATTCTTTGTCTCTTCATCGGACAGTCATCTCAGGTCTAAGCAGATTTCTTTGTTTTTTTTTCATATTTTTTTATATTTTCTTAATAAAAGAACAATTAAAGACAAAAACATTGTTTTTCACTAGAGACGTCGGTCGATCATACGATATTTTTTTAGTTTAATTTTTAGTTAAATAACTCATTTTTTTTCTTCGCGAAAAAAAATGGTGATGTATCGAAGAAATAATTATCTTAATTTGATTTGTAATATTCCCCCAAACTTCGTTTCTATTCAAATAAGAAATTTTATATTATATTTATTTTTTTGTACTAGAAAAGCATGTCGAAAACCCAATGACTACTTTATTTTGACAGTAATTCTGTATACAATGACGTTTATACCGAAATAAAAAGTTATCGGTATTCATATGTAAAAATACTATGAGTCGAAATTAAAAAGAGTGTCTGATTTTCTTCTTCATTTTTTGTTTGGAACGTGTTGACAAGATTGTGAATGGGTAACAACGGCGAAAACTACGCTTTAAGATGATGCAAAGCGTAATAGCAAGAACAAAACAAACTCGCTTAGAGTCGAGAATTTCATGAGAAATCCGAGAGAATTTTTTCTCGAAATCTGTGAGATTCTATAATTTCTCTCGTAGGAGTTCTGATGAAATCTTGTCTAGGAGAAATATTCATCGTTTTCTGTCATCAAATTATCTAGTATATAAAACCTACCGGTTTTGTGAAAAATTTTTTAAAGTTTTTGTCACATTAATGGATAGTTTATCTATTAGCCACGATCAGTACTTGAATAAAATACAGAATACTCGAATGTTAACCAAAAATTAAGAAAAATAGAGGAAAAAAACTTTTGTAAATATTCCATCGGAATTTTGTAGCATTTTGAAGCGGAAGTCTCGATTAGAAGTTGAATTTGGCATCAGTATCCAAATAATATGTCTGATCTACTATTGAATTGAAACGAATTTCCCGACGTGTACAAAAAACGTGGAGACGAACAGTGAAGAATGTTGTGATGTTGTGAATGTTGTGATGTTCACTATGCTATTCCTGTACGAAAAAAACTTAATTCAATCTCCGGATCTGATGTTACTCAAACAAATTTTTATTCAAATTTTTTTAGAATCGACAATCAACGGTCATGATAAAACATTCGATTAATAAATAGGGTCGTCTGTTTTTTTCTTTCTCGTGTAACGCCTAAATTAGAATTTGTGAACTCCTTAACATTGATTTGACGTATCAATCAGATGAGAAAGTTATATTATTCAAGGAATTTCCATTGGTAGACAATAAACATGGATTGAAAGTATTGTCTTCAAGGAAATAGGAAATCCAAACAATCCACGCGCCAAATTAATTGTGTAAAAATTAAGTAATAAATAATTAATAGTTTTTATTCGCCAAATGTGTCTCTATCTTTTCTTTGTATTAAATTTATCTAAAATATCGAAACAAAAATTAAGATTATCTTTATTATTGAATCAAAAAACAAAAAAAGAAAATAAAAAGAAAACGATTTTCTAATTTTGTTTAAGAAATGATGATGAAAAGTGAAAATAGATGCGTTAATAGCATTCTTGATGCTCGATTTACAATGAATAATCACATGTTGTTACAAAACATGTTGATCTCACACGTAAACAAATAGAAATATTAAACTTTCGAAGTGTCAGACCTAATGAGCTTGGCTGAACATTATTCATGGTCGTGGGGGGGGGGAAGAGTTTCATAACCCTGGTACTTTTTGTCTATTGCTTCATTTCCTTCCTCTATATATTGAACTTTCATAGAAATGAGAAGTTTTCCGTTTACGATATATTCACTCTAGGTTCGTTTGTATTTGGTTATTTAAAAAAACATTCTCGTTTTGAAAAAAGGAGATTGGAGTTGATCTGGTGTAAATAAAATGGGTATAAATGTTGAACTTAAACGCTCAAGAATACGCGCAAAATTACCTATAAATTAAATTTTTTGTTTTCAAATGGAACTTATTTTATTTTATTCATTTACACTGAACTATCATATTTCCACAATTTTATATAATTTTGTTAAAATTCTTCTTGTTTTCAAAACAACGAATTATGATTTGAATTTATATCTCATTCTGATGACAGCAACCATGAATGATACTACTACTACTACTAGTAAGCGTATTCAAAAAATGAGTACTATACTTTATATTCACTCAATATTCTGAAATCTATTCGGATTTTGGTATCATTTTGAGTTACAAGTTTTCTGGTTATTCCTAAAAATCTCTTGTTTTTCTTTTTATAGCTATTATAAAACATATGAATAGTCAAAGTTGGAGTACAATAATAGTCATGATAATAATCGTTGTAATGATGGTATTCGTTATATCAGCAGCGGCATTTGTCATACACACACTTTATAGAAATCAACAACACTATGAATCGACAGTAGCAGCAACAATCTATGACACTCTACAAGGTGGACCACAACAAACATCGTTTCCCATGACAGTGACATTCGACAAGACAGAGCAACGTACTTCACAAATATGAGAAATGCTGATTATACTGTATATCATCAATAAAACTTAACAAAACATCTGTTCAGTTTTTTTGTTGAAAATGAATTTCTAGTATTAGAAAGAAACTGAAAAAATGTATTGATTAGATCTAACTGTAATTATAATTCATTTATCCCCAATTCAAAATCTTTCTTGTCATGATAAATTGTCATCTACGCGTAGATTAAATGTAAAATTAGTTCTTGACGTTTATTATATATATACTTTTTCAATACTCACTTCACTATGTATTTTACAGACTTAAGAAATGTAAGAAGAAGCATACCATCATGTTTAGAGTCGTCGGAAATATTTAGTCAGTTTTATGATATGCTTAAAATACTTGAAAAGGTGATGAAGTTGCATTCGTTCGATTATCAATTTTATGAATGGACAATTGTTCTGTATGTTCATGACAATACTTAAATTGAATTTTGTAACAGATCTAGAATAGCATAGTAAGAATAACAGAATTAATAAATTATATAAGATTGTTCTTCATTCAAAGTGAGATCATTTACTGATATCAGAGATATTAATAGATCAAGAAATCGATGACACAAAAGAAGTATTTTGCAATTTGCTTTTAGTAGTCTAGATTAGAACAAAAACGAAGATAGTGTATATCAAGCGACTATCTCTTTTTGAGTAATTATAGTATACGACTTAATTATATTAACCACTTGTGGTTAATATTACATTCTGCTACGTTGTTATCAATACTCTAAATTGTCGAAGAAAATCGCTATTCAATGGTGAACTTTTTGCATTGAATGTCACTTTATTATTGTATAAGTTGATATTCTCGTATCAACCTTTAATATATTTTCATCTATTGAGTTTATATTATTATCAATTGCACATGTTAAACACTCCTCTTACAATCAACAGAGATGGATTCATTTACATTCTGGAAAAAGGATCTATCACGGATGGTGTCATTTTCATCAGATTTTGCGAGCCTAATAATATTCACTGTGCGATGCAACCGGTGTTTAAATGAGAGAGAGAATAGATTTACGATAGACAGTGATTGTGCTTTTATTTCCTTTCTTTTTCTCTTTCTTATTCAGTTTAATTGCGTTATCTAAAAGAAACGACACTTTCTTCTTTTTGCGTTTGTATCTCAAATTCATCATTTTATTTCGCCTAATATAGCACGTCTAACTCGTATTTCTACGAGAGATAGAAGATTATCACATATGCTAATTTTATCACGCTAGCTATAATGAAAAGGGACAAGTGGAGTTTTATGCCTCCTCAGTATCCAGATATCTAAAACTACATGAACATTCAAATTAAAAAGATTGTGTTACCTTCAGACTAAGTTCATAGTGAGTTCTAAGTTTTCAACAAAATTTTCTAGGGTCTTTACATGAAATCTCAAAAGAGTATATTCACCAATGATGCCAGTGGAATAAGTATTATCTCATCGCATTTCATTGCTAGTCTTGCTACAAAAGATACTAATAATAGATACAAAAAGTTGCATTTTAAAACAAGAAAAGCCCACAGGTTTTAACAAATCCCATAAGACGGAAGCGTTATATTATCCTATTGCTTTTTCAAAAATTGCTTGCTCTTTCTCTGTTATTCTCAATCGTCCATTTCATTTCATTTTTTGATAATTAGTATGAATCAGCCATTTTTCACGTAAAATGTTAGAAAGATTTTTGCAGAATTATGTAAAAGATATTCTCAAGGATAGGAATATAAAAACTGTCTCTATTCAAATTCCTTGAACTCCTCATTGTTCCGATTTAAAGACTTATTAAAAAGAAAATTAAATGTACTTACTTACACAATAGTTATTTAGAAATTTATATAGACAAAGACATAATACACATGCACATAATGAAAATTGCACAGTGTAGTAATGTTATTCAATATGAAACACGGAAGACAAAAACATAAGTGTATAAAATGAAATATAGCTTTAGAAGTTATAATTTTTAAACAAATAGAAGTAGAAAACAAAGGAACACTTATATAAAAACAATAACTAATTAATTAATTATTTCAAAAGAGATTCATTTCAACTAACTTATTATTATAAAATCGAGACAAAAAATAAAGGCGACAAATAAACAAATATTTTATTGTTTCACAGTTGAACGTTTAGTCGAAATTGTCACCAATGGTAAATCTGAACGTTGTTCATTTAAACGTCTCGATTGAACACGATCGAGTAGAGAAAAAAATTCATCATCGGGTAATGTTGTAGATGATAACGTTTTCTTAGTTGTTGTTACTGTTGTAGATGATAATGGACGAGTTGAAAAGCGACGATTTTGATCTCCGGGTAGAGTGGCACGTTGATCATTAAAACGTGAATCCTTAAATAGAAAATTTTCAATGTATTGTCATTTTTCTCCAAATGAATTTTATCGTTCTAGATACCTGACATTTGATTAACATATCTAAAAAATGTTCGTCTGGTCCATTTTGCTTTTCTTGTTTATTCGTATGCATCGTACTAATATTATTAGTTACTTGTTCATGCTGTTCTTCTGCCTCTTCTTCAATATCGTTTCGATAATTTGAGGGCATTGTTGTTCTTTGATCATTTAGACGTAATTGTTGTAGACGATCCACAGTATTAAGAATATCTTCTAATTGTGCACTAGGTCCTGAAAAAAATATATTATTTTAATTTATTGAATAAATAAAATGACTAATCATACTATGTCCACGTGTATTTGGTTCTGGTTCATTAGTTTTAAAATGACAACGTTGATCTTCAAAACGTGTCTTTTGCATTCGACAAACAAGTTCAACCAATTCATCATGTCCAGCTGGCAATGACTAGATTAAAAAATAAAAATATTTATTATTTATTCTAATAATAAAATGACTAATTTAACAGATATACCTCTTTTCTATAAGGTATTGGTAATTTTTTTGGAAAAAATGCTGTTCTTAAACTATTTGAATTTTTTTGTTTTTGAGATTTTTTTTCATCTGACAAATGTGTACCAGCAAATGATTTAAGATCAGATTGATGATGATTGTTATTATTTTGAATAAGTGGACGTTGATCATCACTTTTTGTATCACTTGGAGTATCCGACATGACAATATTTATTGAATCCGCACGTAAATTCTAATAAAACAAAGAAGACAAAAAACAGTTTAAGATAAGATAAAAAATAAAAAATAATTTTATTTTTGTTCATTTACTTTTACAGGCGTATTTGCAGGTGTTTGCATAGTTGATGCTTCCAAACGTAATCGTTTATCTATTGCCACTAAAAAATAAAAATGAAATCAATGATATTGATTATTCACTATATAATATACACAAAAATAAACATACTATTTTGTAGTGGAATTTGATCGTTAGATCTCATTAAATATCGATGCCATTCTTCATCATCTATCGAACGAATTGGTGTTTCACCAATCTTAAATAAAAAAAATAAAAAAAAAAAAATAAATTCTATTTGTTCGTTTGAATTGATAAATAGAAAGATTTTTTTTATTGTTATAATTTACATTTGAAAAATGTAAAAAAAATAAATTTTTTAATTAAAAACACACCTCTCTTGCTAATGCTCGATGTAAACTTTCGTATTTATTTGCTTTCTCATTTTGACCAATTTTTTGATATAATTGACTTAAAATTAAGTAAGCTCGACATTGTCCTACTGAATCATTTAATTGTCGTGCTAAATTTAAATGTTTTTCATGAAAATAAATCGAAGTATCATAATCTTGTTTTAATAAATAAATTCGTCCAATTGTAAAATAGGTACGAGCTATGAATGTTGTATCATTCATTATTTCACCATTCAATAATGCTTCTCTATAAAATATATATATTTTTGAACAAATAGAGTCAAAGAAAATACGATATGACGAAGAAAATATGTCAAGGATAGAAATGTATATAAAAAAAAAATATATATATACAAACCTATAATGATGTAAGGCTTTATCACAATCGTCCAAATACAAATAGGCATTTCCTAAATTTCCATGTGCTCGTCGTTGACCGGGCACATCGTTACATTCCTTGGCTATGACCAAACGCTAAAAAAATTAAACAAAAAAAACATTCATACTGTTACAAAAAAAAATTGGCTTCAACTTACTTTTTCAAGATATTCAATGGACGTTGCATAATCATGAAGTAAATAATTAACATTTCCTATATTGCCCTAATTATGACAGATAAAATAAAAATAGGTTATTTATCAAAAAAAAAGAAAAGATTTTTTTTTTTTTGTTTTGTTTTTCTCCTAGCTTACCAATGTCCGTCCTTCCGCCACTTTGTCGTTTAATTCTCTAATAAGATCTAAGTTTTGACTAGACAAAAAAAACAAAAAAAAACAAATAATAATAATAATTACTGATTATTATGACTTTTTTTTTTTTTTTTCTTTTCTTTTTTTCAATAGAAAAACGATTACTATTACAGCAACGAAAGAACAAAACATACACACATTCATCATTAACCACATCTGTTCTACAAGTTGCGATTTTTATTACCACAGACTAGTGTGACACTGTCTATATTACGTCTTTAGGGTAATATATTTCAAGTAGGATGTATATATCATCTTAAAACAAGAACGACAACAATTCAGTTTATACTCAAACTCTTATATATTCACAGTTGGAAACCTTGTTATTTTTTTGACAAATAAAGATAAACACATTTCTATAGCATATTTGGGACCATAAACTTAATGATTCTGCTAATAAGTTATTGAGACCTATTCTATGGATAGATCGATTAAACTAACTATTGAAATGTCCAAATAGAACTAATATGATTAAGTAGTATGTACAATATCACATAAATGATTAAACAAAAAATATCGGTATAAATTACTTTCACTATTGAAATTATTTAACGGAAAAATTATATAAGATAATTAAAAAATTTTCTATAAACTAGGGATTATATCAAGAATATAGAAAAGCAGTATTTTAATAGAAAAGACTGCTATCGCATAGATCTTTTATTACGTGTATCAAGCTTATCAGTTAGTCTCTGTATTACAAAATTTTACTCTTAAGTAGATGATTTTGTAATGAATATTTTTTTATTTTTGAACACAAGTAGCTTATTAGATGCAATTTACCTTTGAAGATGATGATGAATAAAATAGAGTAAGCTAATTTAAACAAAAAAAAATGTTAACGAGCATTTTTGGAAAATGAAGATCTATTTTTTTTTTTACTTCTCTCTCTTCTCTCTCTTGTAAATAGTAAAAGAAAAAAAAAGATTATCATTCTATGCTTTTATTTTCTCCTAAGTGTTTCTGATTGTCTTGTTAGATCTCTCTCTCTCTCTCTCTCTCTCTCTCTCTCTCTCTCTCTCTCCGTCTTTCTCTCATTCTTCTTTTATATTCTTTGTTGCTACACTTTAAGAGGATCCTTTTCTCTTCAGTCATTTGTATCCATGAATATCTATCTATCTATCTCTCTATATATGCCGTCTAGTTTTTCGAATCATTAACGAATACATCTTTGTCAATACAACAATCATCAAAACAACAACAACAACAGAAAAAAAAAAGCGTATGCTTAAGTTCTGAGTATGTCTTGTTCTGTCGCATTTCTATCAACATTCTCAAAAAAAAAAAAGAAAAAAAAAAAAAAAAAAAAAAAACCCAACTTAAAATAATATTAAATTTAATCATCGTATATATCAACAGATGTTATTAACAATAGAATGCTAATAGAATAATAACTTAATCAAAGACATTTTCTAAAGGTGAAAATGAAGATGTTTATTTTTTTGATTTTATTTTTTTTCCCATTTCTAAATTATGAAATAAAAAATATTATTTTCAAAATGTATGTAGTATAAATTAAAACAAAAATAAAAATAAGAAATATCGAGGTAAAATGACACTTATACATTTATTGAAGAAAATATATCAGAAAAATAGAGAGTACTCGGTCTATGTAATAAGAAATAATTATTACCTAGATTTTAAATAGTATTCTGTGTCAATTCGTCCGTTAATCTATTAGCAATAAACAAGTACAAGAAAAATTAATTTTAGAATATATACTAGATCAAAAATAGACACATTCTCTATATTATGATTATACTATACCACTACGCTATCCGTTTCAATTTACTTATTAATACTAAATATTGGTGTATTTCATATTTTATACAAGATAAATGCAATGAATGAACATTAAGAAGAAACCTTTTACGATGAGTTTCATCATTGATTAGTGTCTACTTAAGTTTCTATCTATATTTTTATTCATAAAAAAAAAAAAAAAAAAAAAAAACTTTATCCAAACGGTTGGGTTTGTTTTGGTGGGTTGTTTTTTTTTTAAGCTGGGGGGTAATTTTTTTTTGGCAACACATAT